AAAAAAAGTTATATTTTAAATGTTCTGACAGATTTTCACCTGAAAGTTTTAAGATATGATTGTGTCCGTTTCTGAAAAACAGTCTATGAGGAGCATGAATTATGTCAAATGTATGCTTCTTTCTGGTAGCAAAATGAGAGAATTGAGATGCATAAGTACTGATGTTAGACCTTACAAATAATACTAATGATGTTATTTAAATTCTTGGGGGAAGGCAAGATTTATTATACAGAGTTTCCTCAGAGTTGTAGAATGCCATTTAATCACTAGTACTTTTGATAGTAATCTAGAAAAATGCTTCTGAAATTACTACTCTTTGTTATGGTGGTCACTGCTGTACTAGCTGTTTTACAAACAGGTAACCAAGAGACAGTTTCCACTACAGGAAGTCTAATAAACTAGGATGGATATGCAAGAAAAGCAACTCTTAAATTATGATTATTTACACTGAAGTTGCAAATGGGGAGGGAAATTGCCATTAATTTGTGATCAAGGTGGACTTCTTCCTATTCCAGTTTAGAAACTGGTATTGTCTACTCTAACCTGCCTAAAAGTAAAGCAGATAGCCTAGATATGTTGGGGATCCTGAACTAGGAATCCAAATTGTCTAGGTCTCCACTAGAGGCAAAGGAGATAGGTAGTTCAGCTCACCTGGGTGAGGATAGAATGGGTCAGCTCTGTAGAGGCCTTTTTCCGTTGAAGCAGAAGCCTAGTTCAATTGCAAATGAAATAAAAACAAACAACACAACAAAATAAAAAACTAGTCTGGGTGACTAACTTCAAAAGGCAAGGTGTGTGCTAAATGTGTGGAAGCAGGAGTTCTAGACAATATATAAGAAATATTGAAAAATCAGGAATGTTTTTGCAAGTTAAAGAGTAAAATGATCCATTTTTAATTTGCAAATAATAGTAGTTTTAAGTAATTAATGTTTTTAAAGGTAACTTCCTTCATGATTTCAGATTTAACTCACTAGCTATTCTATATTCTCACAATTTCAGGTTCCTTTTAGGGCAGAGAGGAATATATCCAGTAACAACACAAAGCAGTGGGAAATGAAAAAAGTCAATTTAAAAATCAATCCTCCCTGATTTTTTCTATTGACTCCTCTTTGAAATAACACCCAGAATTTTTATAACTCAAATGGATCATAAAAAAAAATCTCAGTGTGTTCAATTATTTATTTTATGCTTTGAAAACACTTTAGGGTAATGGGTTTCAGTTTTTCAACTTTCATATACCTCATGCTTTCCAACAGAAAAATAGAAACCATTAAAAAGTGGCAAATGATAGCATTTTTTTTTCTTGGTTTTGTTCACACTTGTGCTTATGAGTTGGTGCTGTTCTCACAGGTACACATGATGGCCTTAAAGTTGTGGTAAACATAATGCACCACAAGGGGTGATTTTTAATAGACTGCTTTCTATACAAAACTAAATGTTTATATAACATAAGGGCTTTGTGGAGATTTAAACCAGGCTGTTAATTTATTTTACATCAGATTTTGGAAAGCAAAGTATAGAAGGGAAGTTTTGGGAGTATTAAAATAATGACAGAATCGATTGTAATAGTTAATGAAAATGTAATTGGCCCCTAAATCCCAACATAGATCACTTTCATGTGGCCAAGTTACAGGTGTAGAATGTGAATGAGCAAAGAAATAAGGCAGTAAGTGTACTTTTGGGTATACCATGCAAGGGGAGAAAGCAAATACAGGCCATGACTCTGTTGACCCACTGTTGAACCTCCATGGAAAAGCACTAACACTAACCAAAAGGGGGCCCTTGTTATTTTGCTTGGATATAGGTATACAAGTGATTCAAATGGTGCAGTAAATAGTCACCAAAAAATGGCAGAATAGCATGAAGATTGGTCAAAACATACAAAGGGTAAGGAGTGTCAAGAAAGAGCTGCTCTGTTACAGTGGATAAAAGCAGACTTTGGGCACGTGTTAAAATATTGTGTCCATCTGGAGGTCTTCCCCGTAGAATGTTTTGTAAATGTTTAGTAAGATGTTAAGCTCTGCAGCAGAGTTTTGGTGGTGTGCTGGAAAAGAAACTCATGGTATCTTCAGTCTTTTTACTCATTGTGCTGCTGGTTCCTGACTTACTCATGATTTGTGAAGAGAGCTGAGGATGTACCAACTTAAGAGGCAGGCCCATTTTGAAGTAAATCCTCTTTGAAGTAAATCTTGCTGTGATGCACTGGAGGTATTTCTGGAAATGATGTATCAGTAAGATTTCTCTTGAACAAGCTTGTTCAAGCCCTTCTTCCAAAACACAGTCCTGTAGTTTCCCATTAAAAGGCTCTACTGTTAGTTGAGGTTTCTTTTTACTAATTGATGAACAGCTTATCGCTAATCAACTACGGGATGACTGAGTTGTTAGCAATTGTTCTAGTACCCATCAGTCCTTTCTAATTGCCAAATGGTTTGTCCCAATAAACATTTCTTATATTCCATGTTATATCTTTTGTTTTTGGTGGGTTTTTTTTCAGCTTTTACAATATTGTGCACATCTTTTTTCCCTATAGAGAATCCAGAGAGTATTTTATACAGTTGAACCTCTCCTGTCAGGACTTCAGAACTATTTGATTTAGAAGCATTGATTTTACAGTCTTTTAAAAGAGTTTATTAAAGCTTGGTCCAAATTAGAAAAAATACATGCAAATGAAATACATTGTTCATGCAAATATAGATGTTCACAGCCTGTGTGAAGAGGTCTCCTCTTGCATTATTGATTTGGCATATATTGCCGTTCAATCAACATAGTATTCTTCTCAAAATTCTGGAATTATAACTCAGCATTCCTCCATCTGGATTAGAAATAAATCTTTGTTGAGTGCACTGAGGAGATTTGGAAGGGTAGACAGTTTTCTGACAAGTGTCTAGTCCCTAGGAACTAGATCAATTAAAATTGCTCAGTCATGAATGAGAGTAGTGAAGTAAATTTTGTTTAAAATTCAAGTAGTTTAAAGTGATGAAATAATGGAAGTTCTGTACAGACAGAGTGAAATAATTGTTCTTTATCCAAAGATTTGGAAGGGAAAATTAAAGCTATGAAACAATAGACAATAAAGGATTTGACACAACAGATGAAAGTGTCAAACTTGCCAGACCAGGGACTGGCAGGAGGGTGAAAACAGAAGTCTCACAATAACCATAGCAGGATATATGGTTATTGAGAAACCATGGTTACAGCTTGGTAGTTGTTGAAACAGTTTTTGTAAGGAATGCTGAGTTGTAAATGTAAAGCACTCTTCTGGGTTTTATGAAACTAAAATTCAATTTCTGGTACAGATTTTTGGTGGAGGCCTCAAAGACACTTTCAGCTAAACCTTAAAAACATTCTTGTTTAACATGTCAGAATATTCTGATTGTGGGTTACTGTATTCAGATAGGATTCATGACAAGCATTATATTGATTGAGTAGCCACGCAATATTGATTGAGAAAAGGGATTTGCCTTAAATTTGACACTTGTGTAAAACACAGTACCTTCCTGTCTATGTAGTTCTTATTCCTATTTGTGCACACTTTATTTTGAGCCACCAGAAGGTCCTTCATGTTAGTTGTCATAGCCGTAAATGTTTTCCTTTTGGATGAGTAATTGCTGTCTTCTAAAGCATGAAGAAGGATCCTTTAATAAAAGTAGCCAAGTCACGACCGCATAATAGAGGTTGTGCTCTTTTAAGATACTGATTCTGGTTTAACACACAGCGACCATGGGAAGGAGTGAAACCAGCATTCCATATTCTTTCTTACTCTTGCAGATTTTCCATATTACTGCAAAAATGGAGTCTCTCTTTTTTTCTGCCTTTTCTATGTTCATGAATAATCTAATCAGTCATTCCTTGGATATAAGATTAAGGCTAGGAAATAGCCAGGAAAAATGTATGGATCTCTTCCAGGTTTTGGAACAGAGAGCTGTGATAATGACAGGGTAACTATGACAGATGAGTTGGAGATCAAACTTCCTAGCTAAGAGTACGACACAGCCTTCTTATGCCACTGGAATGAACATGGACCTTACTGTAATAAACCTGTACTATGGCTCCTTTCCTGCTACAAAACTTGACATGGCATAGAAACATAAAAACTGTATTGGATCCAAAGCTTTTCCAAAGAGTCAGGTTTAGTGGGCACAGGGAGCTGAGCACACACAGCAACAGATCGGCACTGCCTGCTCCCCCGTGAAAAGCAGCAGCCAGGACAAGGCACGTATTGCCAAAACAGCTTGCCCTCTGCTGCCCATCCCTCTGCTGCTTCCTTGGAGTGGCTGGAGAGGGGCTACTGGCCAGAAGATTTGTTCTGTTTTGTCAGCCTGCTGCCAGTTGCTGTTTTTCTTTGCTTGTGCTACCTGTTGGAAGACGGACCTCAAGACCCTCAGGAAGTGTATTGCTGGGAATGAGTTTGGTTTATGGCTGGTGTAGTGTGGTGGCTTCCGCAAAAATCTGTGTGAGAAGAATTAGGCCATCAAGGCAGAGTAGAGGTTCCATTGAAAAAAAAAAAAAGGAAGGCAAGTTAGGCTCTGTTGCTCTATTACTTTTGGAAACAGACCTTGGTAACAGTGATATATATGAAGATCAGGTAGGAGGGCGCTTTGGGCAACTTGAGCTGGTGGAAGTAGTCCCTGCCCATGGCAGGGGGTTTGGAACTAGATAATCTTTAAGGTTCCCTCCAACCTAAACCATTTTATGATTCTGTGATGAAAATAGTATCTGCTCTGGAGAGCACCAGGCTGATGAAAAGTCAAAGAAAGAGAATAACCCAAGTACCTTAGCTTTGAGTCAGCGAAAGAGAACACCATCAGGGTGCAACTTGAATATTTTGGTCCATTCCAAGCTTCTTTTTTAGCAATCAAAAACAAGCCTTGTATATTTTGTGTTCAATTGTAACACCATTTTCTGACTTTTTGTCTTTTTCTTGTTTTGTATAATTTCATGCAAGTTCCATATGCCATTCACCTGATAGGATATTTCTTTCTTCTTTTTGGTTTTTGTAGGATAAAGTCATGGGTAGATAAGATGCAAGAGGATCTTGTAACATTAGCACGAACTGCAAGTGGAGTGGACCAGCTTGCTGCGGTGAGTACGATGTGCCTTAGACTGCAATATCTGAAGAGTGAAAGGAATGGTGTGCATCAGCAGGGCATTACAATAATTTCATCCCAACACAGTAAAAAGGTGTTGGGGAATTAAACTTCTTTTTTACAGTGCTTACTGAGAGAGAAAGAAATAACACAGTCATCCATCAATTCCCTCTTAATATTTCCCAACTTGCTCATTGCTAATATTTAATCAGCTTTGCAGTATCAGACAGAAGACTTAACCAGTGACGCAGCTCCCACCTGAGGCAAGCGCCTTTATGTTACATGTTTGTCAAATATGGTATCCAGGAAGCAACCATTCATAGTACTGGAAAATTCTGCTCTTTATTTACAAGGCAGACTATTTTTCTACACATATTTTCTGAAATGAGGAAGCTTTTGATTAGAAGAAACATAGATGAAAATGAAAACTACTCTTATTCCAATGTAACTCAAAATGTGTTTTAGGTAAGAACTTACAATTCCTGTCTCATTGAGAAGAAACTTTTGTCCTATGTTCTATTCTTAGAGGCTAAAAAATACCACCTGAGATTGCAGAAAAATTAAATCACAATTCAGAAAATGTCAGGATGACACTGCCTATAAAACTTCGTATGTATACATCATGATCCAGTATGCAACCACGTGATAATATATTTCCCTATCCCTGCACAAGTCCCATGCCCCCTTATGTGAACCAAAGGATCTCTGGACTGAAATTTTGGCTGTTATGTCAGGAAAATAAGTTACTCTGTCAGTAAAAAGAAGCCCTTGGTGTTGAAGAATTGAACATGAAGCTGTGAGATTTGGTTTTCAAAAGTCATATTCTTCCCAGATGATCGATGAAATGAATAGTAGCTGTGTATCAAAGCTATTAAGAAACACACAGAAAAGTCAGGTGTGAAGTGTATTAATACATCACAGAGAGCGATGGTGGATGGAGCTGCACATATGTCTACTTTTACATTACGGAAACTTCAGTTTAGATGAGGTTGTTGATCATCACTGTCCTTTAGAAAGAAGGGCTGTGTCACTGTATATACATGAGAAACATAAAGGAAGGTTGCAGAGGTTATATTAGTTCTGGCACTTCCTAATATTTGAGTGATTCATATTGCAACACAATTTAAGGCAGATGCTTTAGATGCACTTTTAAATCTTGGAGAACCCCAAACAAACTGAACATGAAATATTGAAGTTTTTGTAGGTGGATTTCACATATATCTGCTGACAGAGAACAATAAGACTTGTACATCATGTCTCTTTCCAGGTTTTGGTGAGGAGTTTCTTCTAAGAGGGGGGAGGATCCTTTTTCTGATCTAGGTGTGATCTGTTCTCTTCTGCACTTGCCATGTCTCTTTTTCCCCACTATCTCCTCATTCAGCATCATACCCCTGATCCACCGTTTG